AATTCGACAAAAATTGATTTTCTGGCTTTATTAGGCATCAAAACGCATCAAACCCTAATAGAAATTTGTTTCTAAATGCCTCAGGAACCATACTACGTCGTCAAAGTGCCGAAATATTCATATTTTTATTTTCCTTATATATGTGTTCGGACCCTCATTCTTTAGGATCAGTTTTTTCGGTGATTATTCCTCCGTCGCAAGTCCGATTTAAAATTTGTTTTTCTATGTCCATCTGGATGTACATACGCATGTGCGTGCAAAATTTGATGAGAATTGGTTGAGTGGTGTAAAAGAAAAACGCAGACAAAGAAGTTGCAAAATCAAGTAAAATAAATATATATTTTCTTATACAATAAAATAAATACTACTCTCAGAGAGTTAAAATATTTGGACTCTGCCCTAAAGATTTTCAATCCCTACAAAAATAGTTGTAGTTTAAAATTATGGACGATTTATTGACAAATGCTTCCTGCGTTTTGTACGTGGTATTTCTTTGAAAGGTATCTACGACAGGAAAGATTATATTTTCGTTTCGCATAAAATGCATTTAAGTCGACGATTAAAATCTCGTGTTATCCGGCATTTTCACGAAATAAGCAACTTTGTCTTCCGCCACTCTGTAATTGTGAATCCATCTCGATCCTTTTCTGAGACTACCGTCGATTCCGTCCCTCCACACACCGGCAGGTAAATAAACTTCTCTCTGCCTGCTACCAGAATAGAGTACCGGCGCTACTATAAGTTCTTCACCGACGGAGAACTCGTCCACGACTACGTGACAGGCTGGATCAGCCGGATCGAGCATCCACAGCGGTCTGATTATCGGTAGACCAGTGTCCAAAGTTTCTTTCGCGTATTTCTTCAGCAACGGAGTCACGGTCTTCTGTCGAAGAGTAGTCAGCCTCTTGGCTATCTCTAACACGGACTCGTCCGAGTACTTGCTGGGCAGATGAGTGAAACGAATTACCGGCAGGAACGTGGACAGTTGTAGCCATCTGACATACAGTTCTTTATCCGGCAAGCTCACTTCGAAATCGTTGTCCGGATTATTGTCGGACATGGGTAAAGCCACGTCTCCGCCAACAGCACCTGGCATAATAAACGGATAGCCTATCATTCCATAAGTTAAAACGGTCGGAATAACGGTTTTGATCGCCTTCCAAGACGACGAGAACGGCGGAAGAGACACAAAGACTGGGGCTCTCGGTCTGGAGATCGCGCCGGAGACTCCGATCACTGGCACGGATCCCAAAATCGCTTTCGTGAATATCGTTTTGTAATGATCCGGATTAGTCAACGGTTGCTCGCATTTGTAATAGTGCGGCATGTCTTGAGCGGTGCCCAGATCAAGGTAGAACGAGTCTACGTGGTACTTCATAATCAAGCTTTCCAACTTGGACTGCAGCCAAGGCAAAGTTTTGTTGTTTGTGATGTCTACAACTCCGACGCTGTTACTCTGCTTGTATCTGGGAACAAAGTGATTTATCTCAATAGACGGTCGGAAGGAAATAACAGTACAGAAAATGAAGTTTACCTGGTCAATGCAGGGATTCTAGGGTCGCTTCCTCTTTCAGAGATCAACAGTCTGTTCGATACCGCGTCTTTGAAGTTTACGGACTCCGTGGATATGAACGGCTGTATGGTGAACACGATCCTAAATCCTCGACGGTGGATGATGTTAATGGTTTCCTCCATCGAGGGAAATCGTTCCTCGTCCAACACGAAATCGCCAGGACTAGGTTGCCACTCCTCGCTCAGAAGGACGTGACCCTGTCGCAGGAAACCTAAAGCTATCACGTCCTCGGTATAATTGTAAACCGCGGCTTCGTTGATCGGCGAAATTTGCCACACAGGCTCGGAGAGCAACGAGTGAACCGCGTGCAGCTCGTCCGGCTTTAGTCCGTCCCACAACGACTTCTCCGCCATGGAGGAGTGCAAGTTCTTCATGTTGTCCGTGGCGCAAATCGTGTAATTCAGTTGCGGCAATTGCGTCAAGTGATTGATGTAGGCGAACGCGTCGTGTTTGGCTTGCAAACAGAAGTCGTTGCTTCTGTTGGCGTTGATGGACACGTAAAGAGGCGTTTCCGGATCAACCAGTATCGTGGCCCCTTTGGAGTTCAAGAAGTATCTCTTTAGCACGTTGCCAAAAGGATGCTTGGTGATGTCACCGGTGATAAAAGGGCTCAAGTCAAGACGTCCGCGTTCCAGTGGATAAGGCATGTTCTGTATTTGGCCAGCACCGTACCAGTGTCCCCTTTTCGGAGACCAATCGAAGCAATCTTTGGGATTGTAGTAAGAATTGAGGCTCTTCCACGTTACGTGGTAACAGTTCATGTCCGAGTGTTTCGTGTGGGCGAGGTACAAACGAGCTTGTTGAAGCCACTCCAGACAAACGGAGTCCTGCTTTTGGTGATGAGGTAGGCACGGAAACACACCGGTGTCGGGGGGTATGCCTTCTCCTAGGCGTGCTGCGATCACTTCCGCACCGGTGTTACTGTACACGTGCATCACCCTGACGTTTTTGTTAAATCTAAAATGCATTGACATTAAACATCTGATCAACACTCAATGACCAATCTGTTTACCTGAATTTGTCAAAGTAGGCTCGCTGGAGGACATGTTGAGTGTAATAAATGTGGGCGAATCCCACGAGGAACACGACGCAGAGAAAGAGGATTCCAACGAAAGCTCGAAGTCTGCAAACAATTCAAATTGAGTCCACATTCGATGTTGATAGGGTCAACCTCGTTTACCTATAGTCAGCGTTCTGCCTCTTCTTGCTGCTTCGTAGAGCTTGAGGTATGGACAACTGAAGTTTCTCCTTGAGCAAGCTACTAATGCTATTAACGCTCGTTATCGTGGAATTTGCGCTCTGGCCGCCGGTGAGCTCCATCGGATCGTTTCCTAGCTTTTGATTCATCATTGGCGATATGGCTCTGCTTTTTCTTCGAGGTGGAGCTTGCAACGGTACTCTGCAAACATTTACACTCGTGATCCGAGAACATTTAATCCTCCGCTAAACCAGACACGCGTTAAACATGTGAAAAGATGACAAACATCGCTCTGTACCTCTGCAGCGATACTGCACTGCCAACGTCGTATCTCGGAATCATTCTGTTGCGTTGCACTTGACCAGCGTGATCGAACAAATCACGTGTCGTTAAAATGGAGCACGGCTTTTTTTGTTAGAGGAAAACATGAGCGGAACATGAAAATGGAAGATTCTCAGTGACTAAATATCGACTGACTGGCAAGACGATTTGGGAGCGTTTCGAGCGGAAAGCGATAACCCTGAAGCGATACAAGGAAGGTCGAAATCGAAGATGAGCGCAGAGTACTGGTTTCGACTGGTTAAATCGTGCGACGTTAGTGTGTTTGTACTCGCGTAATTGTTATTTTTTCGTGGAAAGTTCAAGATACGTACTTGGCCAACTCTTCGTCGTTCGCTTCTTCCTCGGTTTCGGAGCCGAGCGGACTTCCATTGGGCGTCGAACCGCTGTTGCTGAACGTCACGCTGCTGCTGTCGTCGCTCTCCGATCTGTTGAACTTCGAAGCGGTTCCCTGTGAAAGTTTTTTAATGAACTTCCGATAAAAAGACAAGACACACGCGTATCGTACGTGTACGCATGGCGGCTCAGAAAATATTCGCTGGCTTTAGTCAAATTTCACTTATCGAGCGGAGGGAACCTATCGCTCCGAGCGTTATTCGAGAACTACTCTCACGGAGGCGTAGAACAGCACGGTGAATGCACAGGTTGACGATGGTAAACATTACGTAATCACTGAGAAATCAGGCTTTTTCACGGACGAAAGAGTGATACGAACTCGACGTTCATCGATAAAGAGATGCTCTTCAGAAAAATTCAGACACGAATGATTATACATTCGTCTCAATTTTGCATAATTAACTAGTTCTATTTTAACTCGCATTTTGAAACAATTATTAAAATTGTTACACTTTGCATTCACATTAGAGGCATTAATATTTATTTGCTGTGAGTCACAAATGATAACGCGATTAGTATTCCAACGATGCAAATTGTGGCATTATGATCGATTGCAACGCTGAACCACAGATAAATAATTACATAATTATATAAACAAATTGTTACGCTTTAACGACCGATCATAACAGAACGAACCTCCTGTACTACATCCAACGTTTCTTTCCCGGCATGGAACGCTTTTTCCAGCGAATAGATCGAACTGTATTTATGATCCGCATCGTTGTTGGACAACAATGGATCCGTTTCGTCCGTGTTACTCATGGAGTGTCTGAATATCAGACTATACGTCGAATTCGAAGTATGAAACGCACTACCAACTACTTCCCGATCACCGTATCGACAGATTGGCGAAACGTTGTTTACGATTCCCTTATTATACACATACTGTCGATTATTCGGGATACGACGTTTAATTGACGAGGGGAGCAAACGTGTTTACAAAAGCTGGTGTCTTCCGTTCTCATAGTAATGTAAAGAAAAATTACCTTCGGCCTATCGATCCGTAGGGCCTCCATTTCGTCCAGATTTGTCGGCATCGAGATAGACGTTTTTCGTATGCGTGATGCACTGAGGCTCGTTTCTTTAGTTCCGTTGCTAATTTCCGTAATTTTGTCCCTCCGCGTAACAGGTATTCCGTTACGTTCCTTCGTGTCTGAAAGCACGTGGTTTCGTTTCTTTCTCGCTCGCGATGAAGCGTCATTATTGAAAATTTACGCTACTACTACGAACCACCTGTCTACAGCGTCGTTGCTTTGTTTCAATCGTCATTGTTCTAACCTCGATCGAATTGGAAGAACCCAGAGAAAATTGCATTTTTAAACAGAAATGTGCGATTGCACGGATAAAAAGGACGGTGACAAAGATGTGCCGGAAACGGTGACGCTATTCCGGAAATGTCTAACGCCGTATCACCCAGGGAAAGATATGACCAGGCCGTCGAGCTGCGATCTGACTTCCGATAAAAAGGATTGGATTCCAATCGATTCGTCGCAGTCCGATCTTGCACACACGATCTGCGATCAGATCAAGCTATCGAGCTCGAGTAGTTTCACAAGTTCTAGCAGAACGGTAATCTTGATAAATCCGGAACGATTCGAAGACCCCTAATCTTGTTTAACGTTAGTACAAGTTCGTCAGTCCTCGATCATGCGTGTGCTTTCGCGGAGAAGCCGACGAGGAGGAGCCGTGCTATCCGAGGGTCTCTTTCGAACCCTGCGTCGAGGAGGAAGAAGTCGAGGAAGAACCGGACATAGAGTGCACGCTGATGATCATAAAACCGGAAGCGGTGATCTACAGAAAGCAAATAGAACGTCGTATATACGAGGAAGGCTTCGAGATCTACCAAACGCGGTGGCTGCACCTCACACCGGAACAGGTGTCCGAATTCTATTCGGACAAGTATGGTCAGCTGAACTTCGCGCACCTGGTTGCCTACATGGCCTCCGAACCCATAATCGTCCACGTTCTGGCGAAACGCCATGCTGTGGAGGAATGGCGACTGATCATGGGACCGACGAAAGTGATTTGCAAATATTTTAAATTATTATGAACTTCGATAACGACAGAATTTATTCACCTCAAAATTTCAGGTTACAGAGGCTCGTTTGTATTATCCTGATAGTGTAAGGGCCAGGTTCGGCAGGAAAGGCGAGGATTTTCAGAACGCTGTGCATGGCAGCAATACTCGAGAGGAGGCTGAACGAGAGATTCACTTCTTCTTTCCTGAGAGTAAATATAATTATGTCCTTCATCTTGTAGACGTATTATTAATGATACAATAATTATAGCAATACTGGAGCCGCTACTGAAGAACGAGGCAGCTACGACTTACTTGTGGGAAATGCTGAATACTGTTCTCGTGGAAGCTTTGACCATGGTAAAACATATAATTTGTAGACGGACGTTCACTATTAATTAAGCGAGGTTTTCTACCGCAGTGTTGCAAATTGAAGCCTGCGGATCCCGTGTTGTGGCTCGCCAATTGGCTGATATCAAACAACCCTAACAAGCCCCGGTTGTCGCAGGATCTCGCGATGATCCCGACGTGATAACTTTCGTCGTAGCACGTAAATTTTCCGTCATATAAGCAAAATATCTTACCTACTGTGATCGTTTCTTCGCGAGATCTGCGTCGACGGCATGGCGTTTTTCTGCGTAATCTTTTTTTGGCGCAGGTAAGAACAGGGCTGTATCTTTGGAGAAGAAGATACGTTGCGTTAAATTATGAGCTTGCGTTCTTCTCGATATTCCTCCTATTAAACTGCGGTCGAACTCGTGAAATTTTATGCGGGTGTTTTATGTTATTAAACGAGTACCTTGACGTCACCAAATTTTGCACGACATTCACTAATTCTTTGTCCTCGAAGGATCTCGCGTCTTCGGTAATTTTGTAGCGCTTCTTCTCTTCTTCGTCATCGACCAGCCTCGCTTTTTCTGGCGGCGAACCGTTTTCAAAATAACTCACGCTCGGCAAAAGGCTCGATTTCGTCGCGTACAAATTACTTTTTCCCGTTATGTTTTCGTCGGGCGACGTCCAAGTGGAGCTCCTGTATTCAGAATGGTAAACGTTTCGGAAAACGAAATAATGCAAGTATTGAAGCTTGAAAAGATTCGAAGAATACCTCGGTCGATCTTCGTTCTCGAAACGCACTCTGGCAACTGTTCCAGCGTGCTCGTGATCGAAATTATTACGCGCGATTTCCGGCGTCACGACGATTAATCCATTGCCATCCGGAATGGTCTGGACGTTCCGGAGGCCACTCTGTTCACTCCCGTTTCTCGACTTCGTCCACGTTTCCGGTGAGCTGGATCGTGCTTCGATTGGCCTTCAAAATACGATAATTTTATTTAGAGTGAAAAGTTGCTTTCGAAACGGCGAAAATTTTTAGCGAGACAGAGATTTTAATCGTAGAATTTTACCTGTTGGAACAACGCCAAGGATCCACCCAAGCAGACTCGGAGGAGCTCTTCTTCACGGCGCCATTAGCGGGATCGAGCACGTTGCTGTATGTCGGTTTGTACCAGGGTGACGGTAACTTGACTATTCTACCTGGGTACAGTGTTTCCTTCACGGTGTTCCCGTTCAATTGCGATGGTAAGATCGACAAAGAAACGCCTCGTCGCTCGGCCAAGCTGATTGGATCGACACTGGCCACTCTGACGTCCCAGGGATCGACGATGGAGAGCAGTACTTTCTGCGCAAACAGAATAAAGATGGGTAGAGCGTAAGAGGGGACACGGTCAGAGAAGTACATCGCAGTTGACTAGTTAAAGTTCATTAAAGTACGGTCAGTCGAGCTGAAGTGGAACAGGGGAGACGATCTTGAGTCGCTTTTCAACCGGCCCGTGAATGAGAACTAGTCTTTCGCATCAATTTTCGTAAGAATCTGTGTTAAAAATGTGTAACACTGCATCAGACAATTGTACGTTGTTTAATAATTGACCCAGTGATTCCAAATCTGAGCCTGTCATTTTTTATGGGTGATGAATCATGTCCAACATAATCACCTCTCGAACACGCTCGTTAAAAAGGCATCATATTTAGTATTTACACATGATCGATCATTCGGAGTAGCATCGAGTAGACAGATTGACGTGTGCGGATCCATTCGAATTACGTAATGAAAGCCGATACTGTACTCGTGCGCTATCATTCGTACTTTTACGAATTCTAAATCATTGATTGATTTTAATGTTCCGGAGATAAGAACTCGCTGGATGGTCACGTTGGATCTCTCGATAATGGCGAACAATTGAGCAAGCGATCTACCTACATAAAAAGTGGAGATTGCATTTATTTACCGCGTCATACATGCTATTACACATTCGCGAATTGTACACTCGATAGAAGTAGTTATTATCGAAGGGGCCGTATCTTGTTTACGCTCGGCGGAGCAACGAACAGAACTTCAAACAAGTGGAACAATAAAGCGATTAAAGGAACTCGTGCAAAGAGAGTACGGTTTAAATATCGCGGTCAACAAACGAAATGTTTTCGTATGTGACGGTTTGTTGGTACTGCTCGTTGATACAGCGATTATCTGCGGGAAAATCGGATCGTATTTTATAGAAATGCACGGGAGCACGTGCGTCGGCGAATCTTTTCAGGTGTTTGTCAACCTTCGAACGAGAATAGCGCAATTTTGCAAATAACTGGTCATTATTTGAACAAACGCTTTGTTCTCACAAAAGCGTCGAAAACCGAGGGTTTTCAAAATTCCAAGTCTTTGGAATTCGAGAATTATCGAATGAGATGGACATAGGCACGAGATTTTCCGAAATTATTAATAGAATGACTTTCGACCTCGAAAGACGGGTTCTACTCCGTGCTGAAAAATTGCAAAAATCTTGCTGTAATTTTGTGACAGTTGGAATTTACGTAACTGCTTATCAAGCTCCTAGTTTTTACTTCGACTAATTTTAACAATCCGGCGATTTATCACGGCAAAACGTAGACACAAATGCATACAAGAACTTCTTTCGACTTTTTCTGTAATTGTCTTTTCCTCAGCGGTACTTTCCCGGTTTTCCTACAAATTCATCGATTACAAAGAGGATAACTGGAAAAGCGAATTCTTTGACGTCAATTTTAGACTGGCGGTAGGTAATTGAGAGATGATTAATGACAGAAGCCACTTCGAAAAAATTATACCTAATTTGTCTATTTTTAAGTCAATAAACATTAGGGACAAAAATACGATTTCGTGCTATATATTGTAAAACGAATTGAAAACACATAGCTGAAACGGTGTAAATCAACGCGTCAATTGTTGCACGGTGTGAAAATTGCGCAACGTTTTAGCTTGTCCGAGGGATTTTTACTGTATTTTTGTCACACTCGTCATAAAGCTTATATAAATCTACGTGAGCAGTTTTCCTGAAATAGAGTCTCGATTTGTAAGAACTCGTGATCAGAGAAGACTTCCAAAAAAAAGAAGAATTTTCCATGAAATATCAAATTCGTCTGAACTCTCTTATCGTTTCTCCGCAAAAAATTGACCGATCCGAAAGCGAATGATTAGAGAAACTCACCTTTTGGCCGTCGTTCCTCTTCCGTTTCCTCTTGAATTTGTCCATAGTGGAACCGCCAAAGCCGAGCTAATTTGCAAGATTTCAAAGTTCGAAGGCACAGGACTTAACCGAGAGAACCTCCACCTTCGAAGACAGGTGGTTTTAGACTGATCTTCCGTTCCTTATATCGGCAACCACTTAGCGATATCTTCTGAGACCGCGTTCAATGTATCGGTAACTCTTGCACACACACACACATACTCGGACACACATACTACAACAGATTTGCACGCCGATTCACTCTGACAACGAAACGGAGACCGCATACTTGTACATATGTACAAGATACGTCCCTCTTTCCGCCTACGGACGACCGATATCGATAAATCCCGCGAGTGACCAAATCGGAGCGCGTGACCAAGTATTTACCACGATCCAGATGATACTTTGCGATCTTGAAGGTTTGCGTTCAAAGTATTTCTGAATTCGAACGGATAACACTTGTTAGTTTCAGAAAAAAATCCCTTTTCCTCGATGAAAAACGTAGCAAAGAGGATTGAACTGAAGCTTGTACGATACGATTTGAGCAGGAAGTATATTGTTGCGGATACTCGTTACAATGCGCAAAATCACGAGACAATTTATTACATAAGTGACATTGTGTATCAACGCGAAATAAATAATTTGCTGGTTATCGAGTCGCGTGCATCGCAGAGAAAAATCCCCTTTTGAACGCAAGCATAACGAGCGTATTTTTGTTTGAGTAGGTGTGGGCTTGAGAGAGAAACAAATTACATTGTCCTCTGCATCTCTTTTATTTTCCCCGACTTTTTAATGATTCGAAAACAAATCGAACAATACCATCGCTAATCCGACATACCAGTTTTACAAGAAAAATCGCAAACTGATATCACGCGATAAATTGGAGCATTTGTTATTTACGGCCTACGATTACACATAATAGTTTTAATTAACGTCTAAAGGGAGAGAGTTAACTCGTAATGATATGGTCTTACTGTAACAATAATTAAATTATACTAGCTAATTTGTCATCCAATTCGACCGTCTTGTTAATGAAGTAATTAATAATTAATCGAACCTGTGTACCGCTTGCTCAGAACAGAACAAACTTCTCTTTTGATACAAAAATACTATTGGACGACAATCGCATAAATATATTAACGCATCGTTAAGAGTTAACATGGTACAATACGATTTAAATAAATACACGCCCGATAACATTTTCTGGAGGGGAAAAACTTTTCATCTCGGGATGCACCCTTATAAACGTTACAAACTGGTGCATCAGAGCGATACAACTTGGACGTATATATTCTTTTTCCTTAACGCTCTCTCTAATCGATATTTTCTACTTATAATAACGGTAATAACTTCGCCAAAGATATTGCCGCAAAACTCGGACCTACTTCGACAGACGCTCGGCATGACATCAGGATGTATTAATTATGTAATTACTTCATCGATTAATGGAATAATACATCACAAAAAGTCGTGAAAATCTTACAGCCGTCTCTGCCAATCGATGCGACCTTCGGCTAAAATCTACTTACGGTAATTTAATACTTGCTCGGTATTTCACGCGTTTAACCGCATGCAGAACTCCGCGTTCAAAACTTAGCCAAGCATTCGCGCGGCTAATTTCCTTTTAACCACCTATCGATGGAAGTGTATTGGCAAAGTTACGAATCGCTGTGAGTAAAGTATGCAATTTTTTACGATGCAGATCTACGGACGAAAAAGAAAAGGAACCGAAGGCCCACCTTCGTCGTTCATTAACGGTGCGAACTATTTCCTTTTTTTTTAACAATAATTTACAGACCGTTTTGCACAGTTCCCACGATAGAGAGATCGAACAAGAATCGTTACCGATCAGAATAGGTGTTCATTGCATCATAGACTGACGTAAAAACAATGAAAACTTCCGTGTCTGATACAAAATTTGAAACTTCGATTATTGAGAATTTGAAAACTGGTAGTTTATTGAAGAGTAACTTCTCAGACGTCCTTGTGTAATTTAAGCTCGTTCGACTCGAAGCCCTCATTATTTTTACAGTATTTTTTTAATGATACTCTGTAACTCTATCATCAACGTCATCGTTAACCGCTCTTACAATAAACCATTCGGCCTCTGCTCCCTCAAAAATCACGTACGATTCATTCTGAATAAAGTTTAAAAACATTAACGATAGTTATACATCTATCTCTATAATTATTATCTGCCGAGACTTCTCTCGCGTTTCTTTTAATGACCCCGCGAATCGTTTGGAACGAACATCACAAAATCATCGAGAAACTTAATCACGAGAAAAATAAGGGTTATAATAAATGCGGAAGAACTTCGTTCCAAAGAATTCGCTGTTCGACCGACGAGCAGGCCAGGATACTTTTTAAAAGTTTGTCAGTGCTCTCGCTGACATTAAAGACGCTAGAATTATTCATATATATATAATATAATATAATATATATATATATTTCTGTTTTATCTTCTTATTATCAGCATCTCTCTTAATAGTGTCACTGAGTATTATTCTTATTCCTCGTTATGGCGATCTAACTGGTGTTTTCTCATTAACGTTTTCATCTTAAGTCTTATAATTGGTAGGATTTTAACGCTCATCTCCGTTAAATCCCATTATCCTAAGTTATCCTTAAACGAGCGTTTACGAATGTTTACGAAGGTATTTCGTACGATGCAGGATAATGAAGTGTCTATTAAATTCAACGATTGGAAAGTAGCATTTCGACTAAGCACAGCTATGTTTTCTTTTAAGTTTAATCGCGATCTTACAACTCCCGTAACGCATTCACGACTCGTACGCTATCGAGAACAACTTAATCTTTACGTATCTCTGCCTCCGCGTAACAGTAAAAATATATATAGTTCTGGACACAAAATAATTGTCGCGTTATCCTCTGCTTCCGCGCGAATAACGCGAGCTGCTGTACTGCCAGGATTCCCTGGAGCGAAAATCGATGAGGCTGATAGGAGATACGGAAAAACGAGTGTACAGGGTGTCGAAGCAAAGGAAAAATCAACGACTTAAACGATAATACTTCTTTCTTAAGTTCATTCATTCGTACAGACTCAAAGAACAAAAATTTGCGGTATCTATTAGGCTAGTAAAGAGGAACGTTTGCTCTTGCACAAGATCCTCGATGCAGACTATGCGCAACGAACGATAGGCCAAAAGATAGACTAATCTAGGCTGGTGTTCAGCGTGATGCAGCAACGATATCGTAATCGAGATAACGATGCAGTGTCTTTTCAACTAAGGTATCGCATTATCAATGAAAATTACAACGTTTATTCTCGCTTAACGTATTTATCTATCGAATTAACTCGCGTATCTTTCGGAGACAAAAAGAACTTTACAACGATACAATTCGCGTACGACCAACGCTTAACGGTACATATCTGTAACGTCGATCAAGCAAGAGTCTGATATGAATTAGAGTGGTGTTTCCCGTATAATCGCATTAAGACAAAAAGAAGTAACAGTAATGAAAGATTTTCGGCTAGAAAAAATAAGTGAAACGTTCGATGAAACGATATCCTTTCTATTATGCACCAAACACGTTTTTAACGTCGGATGTTACGTCATTCTCCTGGATCGTCCCACTTCGCTTCCTCGGCTATTCGATCGAAACAATCCGACAGGAACGTGTACTGCGAATAGAACGTTAATCGTTCGAGTGTAAACTGTGAGTAAAAATGTTTTAACTAAACTTCTTCGACAGTGAATAAGAAAACAATTAAGTTACGTAACGATATTTAAAACGAGTCTTCTACAATAAGCGTATCATTAACGTCCATAAACGCGCGACAACACGCTATGCGAATTCGACTTAAACAAAAATCTCAGAAAAAGTTTATTAACCAATACGACATATTTTGTTTAGAAAACTGTGGAAAAAATGAAAAAAAAAAAGCAAGGTACTCACATATGGTGTGAAGACTTTGAGCCAACGCGGTGGACGGTTGTCTTGTCGCGTGTACTGGAAGCAAAACGCCATTCCCTCTTCGTCTACCTCCCATCGTGTAATGGTGTTCCATTGAAATTCAACGACTTGAGATTCAAGAGTGCCGTCTTCCTTAGCCGCGTGCAGTTTGAACGCCGCTGCTCCCACAGCCGCGACGACGTGTCCTTCCTTCCTCGAATCGCACGCGCAATGAGGGAACACGATGTCGCCGTAACCGCTTAATTCTTTCGCCAATTTTAGGTACTGCAAGCAAACACAGAAATAAATAAGTAGATCGTTTAAACTCCATAGCTAATACCGGCCTAGGAAGCAAATAAGCTACCTCGTGTTTTCTCGACGCATCTTGCAGAGCCTTCAGCTGGTAGAGTCGTTCGCCGGCTGTGATGTGACCCCTGTTGACCTCGTCAACGGTCTGCCAGAAGATCCAGGTTAACGCATGCTCGCTGAGCGGTCTATTTACATTGAAAAGCCACCTTCTTATCGCTAGACACGTTGCACTGGCGGTCGAGTAGTTCTGAATGTATAGAGTGTGAGGGTGCTCGTGGGGTTGCAACTTTCGTTCTGAAAAGCAAACAACGCTGCTGTTCTACCGACGCGTTTTAACCCTGGTAATCGCAACAAAACTTTGAGCTTAGTTTTTGATTGAATGCTCTTTACGCAGATCACGTACCGAAATTGTACTCCACGATCTCGAACAGATAAAAGTATTTGGCCGTTTCCGCGTCTAGGCCCACTCTGCTGCACACTGCATCGTATACATCCTTGACGGAAGCGGCTTTAGCGACGGTGACGGTAACCACTTCGCGATCCGGCAGGAGCACTTTCAAATCGACGGCTGGTCCTTGATCACCGTCCTCGTCCAGCCTATCGGTCAGGAATTCTTGCATGGCATCGCTTTCAGCGATTACTCGCACCGCGCAAACCTTTTCCAAGTACTGTTCCAGTCCTCGTCTTCTCGCGTCCAGTTGTTGCTCGCTCAATCTATGCAAATGCGATAGTTTCAGCTCTTGAGTGCACGTGTTAACAGGTTTTTCTCATCACTCTAACGACGGGACTTTTTACACCAATATATTTTACGTACAGTATAATAACGCATAAACTGCCGAACATAATTCAGTCGATAATCGATTTTTCGTCCCAGTAAAATACATGGCAGTAAGTGCTAATGTCGTTGCGTTTAACACCGTGGGTGTTAAGTGCAACTTCTTTCAAAGTTATAGTTCCGGTGACCGATAAGCGGTACGATAGCAGGCGCGTTAAGGAGCAATACGGATAGCATACTGGAATGGCCATTTTCCTGGAAGCTTAGGGAAGTTGAAGCCGATGAATTCCTTCTTCAGCGCCATATGTAGAGCTGCAAATTCCCGATAACGTCGCGAGCATAGGTGTCTGCCCGCCATGTGGACGTTGAACACCACATAACGTTCGTGCTTCCTTTCGCGAACATGATAATCCGGCACGCTGATAGGCAGAGACCGTTTTTCGCTGTAGTCCACCGACGCGTAACTAGGAGAAAGTGTATTCGGTCAACGCGGTTGCAAGCAACAATGTTCTAAGGACACTTGACTCGCTCAACCGTGAACGAAAATTTTTACGAATAATTTGTACCTGAGATCCTCGAACGGCTCGAGTCTTTCCGCTTCCTGCGGCGTGACGGAGATCACGGTGAGCGTCAAAACGTCGCCTCCGGACTTGATCAAGTCGACCACCTGTTTGTGAGTGGCTCCCTCGACGTTCACGTTGTTTCTGCAAACAGAAATCGGTTTTCGTTATCGCGAAAGAAATCCTCGGGAAATTCTTCCTTTACCCGCTGGCGATCGCTCTGAATCGCGAGTTGTTTAATTCGCGGCGACTTTCCAACCACTCGCATTGAACAGCAGTCACATAGCACGTTAACATCGCGACGGTTTACTTTAGGTGATAACCTGTAGGCAAAGTCCAATCGAGACTGAAACGGAAGAAAATATAGCGGGAGTCCTCTGCCCAGGCAAGTTCTCGCGACTGGTTTGAACTTTCACGAGACCACGGAAAAAAGAGACAGAAGGAAAACAGGCAAACAGCCTTGTACGAGCTTTGAATTCCGAACGGGTTAGGAGAAGCGTTATTGGCCACGGCACGGAGGCACGGCTCCGCTTCAATTCACGCAGTACACTCGCGAGTAAGCAACGCGACTCGCGTACTTTATACTTCTTCCTATCGCTTGCCGTCCCCCTCGACATTATTCCATTATCTTTGATTTCACCACTAACGAATTGACACAGATCGAATAGTTCTTAAAAAGATCTTTGATCTCTGCATCGTCCTTGAACGCCTTTTGGTAAAGGACAATCGGAACATGTTCGACAAACTTTCTTTCTTCGCAACTTTCTCGCCTATTCCAGATATTTTTATCACGATTTACTATTTTTACGACGAACCCCTTTCACAGGTTGCCCCGGTTGTTCATCGATGCAACGAAATCGGTTCTGTACCATAAATCGTAATGAAATCAAGCGAAACCGCGGCGATTATTGATCGAAAACAGAAATAGAATGACCAAAAGCTAATCAAGGTTCCGTGAACCGCGATTTCACGGACACTGATATCGTTAGGATTATGAAATTAAGGAGTTGCTGATATACGAAGTGCAGAAGAGGAAGAGCTACTCACTGTTTATCTGAAGACAAAAATCAATTCGTAAAAGTCTGGTGAATTCGTAGAGATTTCTGACAATTCGCAGATTCTTATCAGTTTCGCAAAATTATCTCAAAATGTACAGCTCTGAGAGATAAATTTGTGGGCTTGCAAAGTCTCGATTCTCTTCACGTTTTCCTCGAAACGTTAGATCCTTAATCAGCAAAGTCGAGAACGTAATTGAGGAGAAAGCTGAGCGAGCAGATATAAGCTCACCGAATACGTTAACGTCTCGAAACTGCTCAGAATCGATCGAGAGTTGTCAACCGTCGTGATTCCTTTTTAAAGACGGGTAATCATCTTATCGTATTTTCACAGAATCCTTCGAGAATACAGAAGCGATAATAGCACGCGCGGCACAGAAAAGAGGTCACGTTTGTCCAAATGGGCATATTTACACTTATCGATAGTGTATCGATAAGATAGCATTGAAACGAGAGCGAAATAATCTACTTTCACCGTGAAAGGCCATCTGTTAACAAATTATTGATTTGTCTCGTTCGAAATCTGGCGAATTTTCTGGCCGTAAGCGCGTTGTCGATAAAACACCAGTTTCTAATTTAATATCGTGCCCTTGGTAGCTGAAAAATCCATCGAGATCGTGTCTACGTGTAACCACTTGTTAGAAGCCGCACAAGAGACAAACCTTTTAGAAACGTCGATGCTTGGTGTAACTGGCATACCGTAAACGAGAATGGGTCTAAGTCGTCTTTGTTTCAATTTCACGTAATTGCGGTATTGTGAAGAGCGGAGGCACGTATAGTTTATGCAACTGAATTTTACGAAATGGACAGAATTCGTCCCTTCCCATTTATTTATCACTCAAGACTATTCAGAAGTGTAACATTAACGACCAAAAAAAATTAAAATGTATATTTAGGGATTCTTGATAATACAACTTATAATTAGACCTAAATTTCAAGTTGAGTATTTGAGTAAAGTTTGTCACATTTAAGTGCGTCAAAGCACGGTGAGAGATTCTTGAAGAAATTCTACTTCAGAACGTATTATTCCGATCGTTACTCATCGCGATAATTGCAGCAGTAAAAAAATCATCGAGTAATTAACGCTCGATTAACTCAGAGCGGTCTCAGCGAGTACGGTGACCTATTCGGGGCAATTCCTAAAACGTTTCTTTGCAATTTTCTAATTCCACGAATCGAGCTACCGAAACTCGGCCCACAAACGTTTTACATAATTCGTGTTCTAGAAACTTGACGAAATTGAAATCCTCTATAAACGAGTCGATAAATACTGAATCGTGGTGTCACGCGAGTCTTTTCGTGCTAATGATTGAGTTTTCTGAATGCTTTTCTCCCGTTTGCCTTTCGACGAGAGCAACATTAGCAACCCGAACGAGCCTACGGTACCGTTACACCTCGAACAGAATCATCGGAACGCCCGTCTCTTACCACGCTTTCGTACCGTTAATTACGGATTAATTTAAAAAACGTTTGAGAACAGTTTTTTCATTCAAAAACGCTCGACCTTGAGAGAATAATTTCGCTTATGTCTGAAATGAACGTAGTGTTCGAATAAATCGAACGAATAATTACTTTTTAATTCGCGACACGAATTATCCATTCTCGCTGAGTAATCGCAACAGCTGTGTCTGTAATTGTTTCGTATGCATAATCTATGCGACTGCTGCGAATCTCTTCTCCCGGAGGAATTCGAAAAAATGTTGGACAATTGGAAAAGGCCTTGAGATTTCAAGGCCATCAGAAATAGTAAAACTATTTCAAAGAAAATATAATTCTTAAAAAATTTTAATTGAAAAATACCTGTTTATTCGAGTTACCTGCACGAGTTAAAAGGAAGAAATGCGGTCACTTTCATTGACTCCTTTTCTCTCTTATTGCCGAAGGTGATTATATTCCCATTCATCAATTATTAATACGGAGTATCTGTATGTGTGCCTAGGGACTGTTTGGATGAAAGAAAATCAACTTGACAGCTCCGATTTAACATCCATAAACACCAGCGTCGCGACGTTTGATCAAGCGATCTCGTGAATGTCGAAAGATCGACGGCGATATTTTTCAACTTCAGATACAACAGGAAAACAATTATTCATGTCGACAGTAGAGCGTTTGAAGCTAAATGAAAACGGACTATCGCATATTATGATATTAGATGCTATCTAAATTGCAATCTGAGTCGCTGAAAATAGTTGTGGTATTTTTCCATAATATCGTTGAGAAATTATAAATTGATCTCTGTCGCGAATTATATAAAATATGCAAGTACGAAATTGTGACTAATATATTTCGTATTATTTCGTACTGAAATATTGTTTAAGTAGTAAGTACTTACACGACTCGTTTCGTAATTAAAAAAAGTGATTGATATGTATGTAATATCACCCTCATAAAAAATTGTTGTCAATGTGTTATATAATCTCGATTAAAGTGATTAATATTCCATCGCAAATTTTTGTCGCATTCATAACATCGTACGTCTGTTATTAACGTACTAATTAGCCGAGAGTAAAATCGAGATCAAATGCACTTCGTCATTTAAATAATTCGAAACTCGGATATCGTTATCGATACGATTCGATTCGAGTTCATTACGTCAACTAAGTTGGTGTAACGGTTTGATTACAATCCATGAATAAACGGGGTCTGCTAGAAATTCTGCAAACATCGATAACTAAAACACCCTGTTCGATATCGTCAATTAATTGACATAGTTTTCTGGGAAACGTCAAATGTTAGTTCCGTGATCGCGAGTGAAGCACGTATCGCGATACGAGGCGCTACCGACACATTGATTCGTACATTAGGCATGAAGAAAGCTGTCAAAGATATAAAATAAGAACACGAAATGGAAAAATGTTGTCTATGAACGAAGAAGGTACAGGTAGAACATAAACTGTGTCAAGAAACGAAACCGTTTCTTGTACGTTAAACGGTATTACGTCTACCCGGCAGAATCGATTAAAACGAGCATCACGCTATCGCAGTGATATCGATAAAGCTCTAAGAACTCGATGGGAAGAATGGGAAAAAGACGGTAACACGTTGATCTTCGAACGCACAGTAATAACTTTAACCACGCTACGCGTTAGATTTCGCAAACAAGGTAGAATGGATTTGTTGTATGCATCATTATTACTCAACCTTCACCGCGTCGAGAGATTTTCTCTAATGGAGTAAGAGTCCGGTACCCGTTTGACAGGTAGACGCACATTGGTCGGACTGAAAAGGAACGCGGACCAAGGATCAAGCTTCGATTAAAACGAAAAAAAGAAGAGAACAAAACGCAAAGACAACAAAAGACTACTCACACTTCGAGTATACGATCGCCTTTTCTTACACCGGCTTTCTCGGCAGCACCTCGGGGTAATACGGCGCTGACATGCTGAAGCGGTGCGTACAGTTCCCCGTTGATGCTTCTTAGTTGTCCACCCTCGCTGACCTGGCCGCGTACATTGAACCCAAAACCAGTCTCAGTTTTGTAAATGGTGACGCATCTGGGACCTTGTCCGATCGGATTCGTTTGGTTCACCGGATGCTGAGGCACACGTCCGTTGTTGATCATCGTCACGTTCGTGTTTCTCGTTACGTCTTCGTTGGCGGTTGGCAAACGCTGCACCTCCGACTCGCAGTCCGCCATCTTACTCTCTGACCACCCATTGATGTTCCTTTCGTACGGCAATCCACCACGAGACTGCGCCTGTGTAGTTGCAACGCTTTTCCTCTCTATTTTCTTTCTCTAGCTCTTGCGTTTGCCGCTAGAGGTCCATCTTCGAAGTCAGCTGTTAGCGCCAACTCAACGTTCCTTTACTTAATAACGCGTAAAAATTGTTAGTGATCGTGTTGTGAGTTGTGTAAAATAGAAAAACTGTTTTGTGAATAAAGTGATCAGGTTGTGCGTTGTTTAGAAGAATTTGAAACTTTGGACGTAAAGAATCTTGGACTTTTGGCGGAGTCTTGGTAGCAGTGGAGAACATGGACTTCGTAGAATCTTGTTTTATTAAAGAACAGAAGGATCTCTTAAATAAAGTACGTACTTATTATCTATCGTATACGACTTTGAAATATTGTTTAAGATTGTAAAGTATATGATTGATAACCTTTGATATGCTTCTGTTTTAAACTTCACAAATTATGGCGCGATAAATGAACGTAACTGCGCATGCGCAGTATTTTTAATCCCCTCGCAACGGGATATACGTTTCAAATTGTAAATGCGGAAATTCTTAATATATTTAAGGATTGGAGGATAATAAAATACACAGGAACAGTTGCCATTTATATCTGCAATATATTAAATAATTATTAGATACATTTATGTGCGGTAGTCATTTTAAAGTCACGTCACTCTTATGTACAATTTTTTTCCTTCCATCTTAATTTAAATCTGTTCTTTGTAATATCTCAGTACGTTTTGCTATCCAGTGTTATAGTCGATCAACTAAACGACGATGATCGCGTGCCTTTCATTTACCCAGAAAATATTATATTTTGATATTATTTTCTTCTTATGATTTCCACGTCTACCTCTTGTTCTTTCTTTCTCTCGTCATATAAAAAGTAAACGACTTTTAGGTATATTTCATTAACTGATCTAGTCGCTCGAAGAGACGCGTAACATCGATGAGATATTTTCTTTTTCTGTATTTAGTCAGCGATGACGATACTCGAAATAGCTTAAAGCTTACGGAAGGGAAAAAAACCTTGAGTTTCTTCTACACGGGAAAACTTTGCGAATGTAAAATCGTGAATAATGTAATACTGTTAAATCGGTTACTATCGCTCTCAGTAACGCGCAGGGGAAATTATGCTAAATGAGTCTAGAGTAGTACACGTTTTTCGTTCGATCGAATGTCTTACAAAAACTTTGGTACCTATTCCGGTGGTTTCTTTTCTTTTCTTCGTTTACGCATTTTTCTCCGTGTACCGATACACGCCTGAGAATATTATGAAATAGACACACACAAATTGCTATAAAATCACACGTTACATTCACGCTTAATCAAAGAGAATTTTTTCAAAGACAATCGGGGAGAAAGAGAGAAACTACGAAAACGTCGAATTGGATTTTTCTTACGCTTTAACGCGTTCAGTGTCATGGGGTCCTCATTACTGCGTAGTTGTTTCTGCGGTAATCAATGTACTTAAAACCCCGGTCACCAATGACCCACATGACAGTTAACGGGTTAAAGAGAATTTAAAGAACCGCGGTAAAACCTCCGTATTCGCAGACTATGCTATTTCTCAAATGAAAACGAAAAGTTATATTTAACTTTCCCGAGAAAGAAGTGCAGTTAGTAATTAGATGCAACTCTCTTCGAAGCCCTGAGAACATGGAGGTTCAAGTAAACTTTAAAATCTCGTGACAGTATGTGCGTATATATACATCGTATGAATACTTGAAGATAACTTTTTTTTAATAAATATATAGATAATATAAAAGGGCATTGTGGACTAATTACAAATGTTAGAGACATATAATATAATAATACGATGAGAAATATAATAATTGCGATGACGGTGATGATAATGATACTGATGTCAATGCCGATAATAATAATAATTATAATAGTAATATGAATAGTAATAAACATGATCGTACCGATAACATGCCCTTTATAAAGGTAACCCAAGAGTAGGAGGAACGTGCATACATTGAGAATTTTCAAAGTTATTTCAAATCTGACTAAGCATTTAGTACAGCAGTGCTTTCAGTTATATAAAATTCGAAGATACTTCTAACAAAAACAGTTCGCTATCGATAGACTTTGATCAAAAGTGAAACGCTAAATTCTGCGCGTAATATTACAAGACTGTACACAAAATACACGCGCGTAGGGTGTTTTTTTCTTCTTTTTTCTCATTTTTCTTCTTAAGGGAGAAGGGGGCGAAAGCTTCTCTCTACTTTAAACAGATCCTTCTTCCAATGAATTTCTTGGCATCGTGTAACGCGTTATGGCAAACGAAGCGGTTATTAAATTAAGTCGAACGGTAAATCTTAGGATTACGAACGCAATTAAATCGTAATTAAAACTTCACGCTATCATGGCAGCGTTCATACGAACATTACGGAAATCGAGCCGAGGAAATTCTAACGGCTATCACATATCAGACATCGCGATAATTCATTCGAAATGTCTCCGCTAACACCTTACCAGCCGGAAATTCATTAATAAACTTTCTGACATCGGTTATTACATGAACTGTTGTCTCTGATCATTAATAATTCATAACATATTGAATACAATAAAAACAGATGTGTCAATTGCAAGAAACCTTTGAAAATTTCGACATGTTCCAATTATTTGAATGGTAAGGTGTCAAGATTCGCGATTATACATTGACGACGCACGAAATACACAACATCGTTTTCGCAACAACAATTTAGTATTACTATTTCTTTGTAACTATTTAATATATATATTTATGTATATTTAACAAATAGACGTTTAGACAGCGATGATCAGAAATCGGACAATTTAGACACGGGTTCAACGACACCGATTGGACATCAAAAAGTAATTGTTCCGCGCAAAGAAATCTTGTGTCGAACTGAATCGTATGAAACAAAAAAAAATACACATCCCACGATACCCCAAATACGTTATCAACGCAATTGCTTTAGAGTTTAAAAGGATCGTTAGCTTTCTACGACGTCTAAATTATAAATTACAATCGTTCCTTCTCTTATTTTCATATAGTACACGAAGGCTTTCATGGAAGAGCATAAATTTGCAAATGTCTCTTTGCTAAAATTGAAAAATGGGAAACTATCTTCGCCGTAACGAAGCACGTTTGATTTTCGAGGTCAACTAGGAAGTTCTTCCGTTTAAAACTTTAACTCCGTTAGAATCTTTCTAATTTAATGCTTAATCGAATTGGAAGTAATTTTTAATCTATACGATGATCCCTGATTGAAAATCCCTGCGAGGGATGCGATGCGTCAGCCAATTTAATTGCAATGTGATGATTAGAAGATAATCTTTGGTTACCCAAAAATGCCTGTTCAATACAATTGTAGGTTACTTTAGTGTTTTGCATGACTGATGCCGTTGTCACGTGTTATATTCGCAGAACCTTAGATATCCGTGACTGATCCGTTGTTCAATCACACTTTTCATAGTTCCTGACTTCTCATATTTCATTAAATCTGTTAGATTTATTTATAGGTTTTCAAATTCGATAAAGTCAGCAATTTAACCCTCTCATATAAAGATTCTATAACAATATATTCTTACGAGTTTGTACTTAGTAATTTAAATTCGAGACAAACGTTCAAAGCATGAAAGACCTATCGCGGAGTAACGGTTCAGCGTTTTGCTTCCTCTAAAGCCGTTCGGTGCGAGTTCAATTAAAACAAGATTTTATCAAAATTAGAACAGCGATAAAATAAATATTCAGCGTAACGCAATAAATTAAGCATAGGATTAAGAAAACAAAATAGTACAAACAACAGAGACTATATTCTACGGTAGTAATGTAACAAATAATGTTCTTCAAACGATTACTTTAAAAGTTCACTTTGCTTTAATAAAATTGTATTCAACGATCGGAACGTTAAGCTTCGTAACTTCACCCCTTGTACGCGTAACATAGAATACAAGAAAAATCTTTTAAATCTATGACATAGGATAATTCGCACTTGTATACATACATACATACATACATATATATATTAATTTAATTGACATAGTATTTGTTTTTAAATGGAATGTTTATAAAGTAAGGCGATTTATAGTTTACGCGTTTTAAATAACATGTAGTTACTTTTCAGAATGTACAATAAAATTTACATATGAGAGGGTTAAAATAGAAGATCTAGACGACGCCCTTTTCATTCGGCATCGTTCTTTTAGCATCGAATTTCTTCGCGAAACAAAATATATATCGAGGAACAGAAACATCGAATTTCTGTCCGCGGATTTGGCCTTGAAAAAACTAGTTCTTCTTCCTTAGATATTCCCTAAACGTATAGCGTAACAGAAGAATAGAAACCTGAAATGTTACATCGATGGAGATGATAGCAAAAAATAACTTTCAGTTATTTAAGCTAGAAACAGGCTATGCGAGGAGACTATTATGCATACTTGGGAAGAACATCAATCTGGTACATGATAATAGAGTTTAATACTCTAATCAGAATCTTCTTCTATGGTCGGAGGTAACATAGCAAGATGTTGTGAACTAAGCATCCCTCTTGAAAGCGCGTACTCTGCCAAAGCTCGATGACAAAACACGTACTGATCTGGCATTTGAATACTGTAGGCCCTCTGTGCTCTAATTTTTTCCACCGTCCCACGAATGTCTACGGTCCCGGTGTCCTCTAGCCGCGATATGCAAATATCTAACGTACAAAACGTTCCTACAAAAAAAATCACATGAAACGCACTGATCGTTTTTGAGATACGTATTAAAGTGCACGTTGAATACCTGTCCTTCCTATGCCGGCGCTACAATGTACCACTATTGGAGGTCCTCGCGGATGTCCAGCCCATGTATCGCCTCTGCTCGCTAGTAACTTATTTTGTTGTTGTCTTACTAAGGCTAGAAATTGTAACAGAGCTCTGGCCGACTGTGGAACACCGTAATCCGGCCACGCCGTGTATAGCATATGGCAAACCTCTCTTGCCTCATCAGTCTGAAATATAAACGTGTCACGATACGCCTCCAACACTCAAACTTTACGGACGTAGAATGATTCGGTTTACGTTCTGTCTGAGGTTAAACTGTACCTTGTTGTTTGTAAGGAGGAGCATGGATATCGTATAATCGGGATTGGTATCGACTTCGAGAGTAGTTACTGTGAAACCACCCGCTTGTACCTCGTCACCCGGTTCCGGACCCCAATACTGTGCACATTTCGTGCGTCCCCGTTCTACCACTCTGAAATACATAAAAGATCATCGTTGTCTTCAACTATATCTTCGTTAAATTTTTATGGAACATCACGACAAAGAGCGTTTTGGTGTACCTAGTAGTCATAACAACGACGAGCGTTTGCTGTTCCCAAATCATCCTCCAGAAATCACCGCAAGTTTTCGGAAGAGGACCCTGAGTGCTAATAAACGCATTCTTCTGTTTATAACCATCAACAAAATTAGCATTTATATAATCGGACGTGGCGTCTCCGTCTACTTGCGACAGGCACACTCTACTGTGGTCGTAGCAAAGTACGTCGGTGTACCGATTCTTCGGTTGATTAGACCTCAATCTGGAAGGGGTATTTCAATTAGTTGATGCATCGACGACACGAACGATGTTCTACGTACTTCGCGTTATTGAAGGAACCTTCGGGAGGTCTTTGCCTAATTTCCGCATACTCTGCTATGAGCCCTGCGCGTCCTCTCGAATGGATCTCCTCGATAAGTTGCTCCATGGTGACAGCTTGGAGACCAAGATCACCATGAAGGCTGTCGTCGTCGCTAAAACCCGAACTAGCCGAGGACGGAGGCTGAACTGGAGATGGTGCTTCGTCGGTTCCCATCCAGACATCACCATTCGTGATCTCGATATCCCCGATATTCGAGATACCATTTTTCGCTTTACTCTTATCGATTATAGGACTAGTCGAGCTACTAACTGTTGTTCCATTCGGATTCTGATGAACGGTATGATTCTTCGATGTGGGCGAAAGAGGAGTACCCACTCTGGGGGTAACCTGAAACGGAAAAATTTCATATTACGAACAGAAGAGATGGAATTTCAATTACTTTCACGGGACAAACCTCGCAAAGTTCACCCCCGCCCCTGTTTGTCATGGATTTAAGACAGTGGAGCAGCCATGCCTCATGCTGTACCTCCAACGTGCCACCCAAACGATGCGGTAATGATTCTCGTGGGATATGTAACGTTAATTGAGGAATGGATACGGTGAATACTCTGTCCCTCAATTTTTCACGAACGAATAATCGAAGGATTTTAAACGGCGCCTTGAACCATAACGGAGCAGTCACTATCAGAACTTTCTTCAATTTTGCCGGGTAACCACCCTGAAACAGTAGAATTTTTTTTACTGAAACATTCATCTATTCAACGAGTGAATATAGTGGAGCTAATCTTTATTTCTGATCAGGTGAATAGGTGATTCGTTGTTGAACTATTCGACTGGATTTAATTTGCGACACCGGGTATCGGTAATCTTTACGACAAAGTACCATGTAACGTACATAGGCTGCAGGACGATCACGTGCGCTTATTACTAAGCCAAACAAACATGAGGCATTGTAAACAAAAAGAAAGAGAGAGAGGAAATAATCGATACTTGCACGATATCGTGTATTTTTATAAATCAAGGTTACATAAGAGACATAAAGTATAGATATAGATCTCGTTGCAGAAATATATTCTTTAGGACAATGCCGTTTGTCCAGCACAAAAGAAAGGTTGTTAAAAAAGCGTTCGCGTCAGGTGACTGCATAATTTATTTTCGAAACGGAGCGACTTTCAAAATTGACCTCTGAAAGACGGTGCAATAATAGAACGGTCTATAAACTCGAAGCCAGTTTAGTGCCAACTGCAAGCAATTCTCAAATATATAGATACATGTGTTTAATATACGAACGGCTTATTCGTTTTAGAGGAAAATCACGGAATTATATGCATGGCGCAACTTTCGATCCAATTTAGCGGTGAAGCACCGTATTACACAGGCTACGCGTGTTAAGTTAATCTGAACAGTTGTAGAACTCGATAGAACTAGGACAAAAGTATCTCGTGGTACGTGCTCGATTATCATCGAAAATTTCAGGCGGTTAGAAGAGCGTTGTAACGAGTGAAAAATGTGTCTCGCTTTGAAGCATGTAAAATACAGGAAACACGGTAACTTAACCCTCTCTGTACCCTCTGTGGTGTGCATAGAGGGCGGAAGTACCGTAACGGCAACGACGTCAGCAGTACTACTACACCTTCGCGACGTTGAGCGCCCAAACCCTGCTGCATGGAAACCCCGCGAAATTGTCACGACAGAAGAATATTCATGCTTTCGATACGATTCTGAGCTACCGTCGATCGTAAAGGGTGAATCAAACCACATTAAAGATTCACAGGAACCGAAAAGGTTATCAGGGATTTTATTCGAAAATTCGAGTTATCAATCGATAAATTAAAATTTTCGTTTACCGTAAGCCGTGAAGAGGTGCACCGTAAGCAAATTCTTTGTCGGACATCGATGACACGAGCTCGTTGAACGATCAAACTATACACCGTAGATCGACCGAATATAATTCAGATTTTATCTGGGTAAACGATAAGAATGAAGCACTTTTGATACTTATAATCGGACGTATCTGGCATCGGGTCGAGATGGAAGTGAAATCAGTGCCGGCACTCGGTCAGTCAATCGATAACGCGAAATTAGTATAACCGTTTTCGCACGGTTGACACGGATCGAACCGAACTTCGAGGCTGGTTGAACTTGAGTTCTGTTTTACACGGGCTACGTCATCGCGTGTTCGTAAAAGGTGCGCGAACGGACGAACGTCAACGATTCGACGAGAATATATGCACTAGTCCGACGGCGGAATCAGGTTGTAACTTCTTCCGATCCGTGTACGATAATGCCGCAAAGGGGTCACGATGATTACTGACCGCGAGCGTCGCGACGTTATCCCGCTAACACGCGCATGCGCGCCAACGACCCCTTCCTTCTTTTTACCACCGCTGCCTGCTCCAACATCCCCTACGCGAATTTCTTCTTCCCCTGACAAAGGTGCAATCGTACGTGCAGTGACGTATTACTACAGTGTTTCTCAACTGAGACCGACAAACGCGTGCCGCGCGCCACTGCCGGCTGAAAATTAATCGGGATTCTCTTTGTTGAATGCGACCGTAACGCGGGAAACTTACGTTACGCCGGAAGGTTATCAACCCGTAATAAGTCGTTACAAATAAAAGTAGAACGGTGAAAGAGTATTTTTAACCGGTAACCACTAATCTGGGAATGTAAACAAAAATATTGCTCATCGCATTCGTATCTCGAGAGCTTTCTTTTTATTTCAGTTACGACGCATGAAGAGCGCGAGGAATTCGAGCGTGAAGAGCATCATCGTGTACATAACTTATCGCGATTCAAGTTTCGGTCTATCGAGAGATAGTTGGATGAACGGATCAAGTTTATCGTTGCGTACTATAAATACGTACAATAGAAAGAAAGCTGAACGAGCATTTTCCTCTTTTTTTTCTTTTCCGCGCTTTTTACGCGATCCAGAATAGAATTACAATTTTATCCCCGTTTCCTGGTAAACAATCGACCACACGTTTATTTTCATCTCGTATTCGATGACGTTGAAATCTTGTTATATATGTGTAGTTTTCTATATATCCTATAATTGCGTCATTCCGGATGAAACCTTTGAAATTCCCTTGTTCTAGTCGTAGCCTTGCGGTTCACTGGGCAATTGCGGACGGGTTTTCGTCGAGCGTTAACCACCCCTTAAGCTTTCCGGTTCTTTGAGATGCATCCCTCTATGTAGTAGACGTTTCCAAGTTACGCGCATACACGCTTTCCTACGTGCTCTATAATCGAAATCATAAACGTCGTACCGTCGCCGGACAAAGTAATTTTCTTGAAAATATCTTCGTGCATATTTACGCATCTACGCGTATCGTGATAATCCTGTCGTACATCGACAATGTGCGTTACAAGGTTTGATTTCGCTTGTGGCAAGGATAAAAGACAAAGGTGTTGATTAAATTTCCTGTGTAAAGATAATGACCCGTATTTGGAGCGATAAAATGGTACCAACAAAGACTCTTTGTTTCTCGGATCACTGTCAAATACAGATGTAAATCCATGGAAACAGATAACGAACAAAGGTGAATCTAAACCGGTGGATATTCCGAATCTTGGTGATGTAAATTTCCCGCTAATAACGCTTTTATTTATTCTAGCTTTAAGAGCAATTTATAAAATGCTACCTTTCCTTAATTAAAAAAAAATGTGTATAATACAAAGATAAAACTTACCTTCAGGAGAGTGAGAATTTTTTGAGAAAGATCATAGTCGAAATTTTGATATTTGCTGTCCGACATGTCATAAATGAAAACTAGACCATGTTTTTGAGTGTCTACACTTTCTAGAGCTGCATCCAATTGATACACAACACCCTGCAATGTAATAAAGAAAGCTGTATTATTAGAAATCTCTACTTGTAAATGATTAAGTAAATATTGCATAGTTTCTTATTATACGACACTGAATCACATGGTTTTTAATACAATCGTGTATGAATCATTGCATCCACTGCTGAGCACGAAGCGTAACATTGCATTGCACTTATAAAGATACATCAACTAGCATACACACCTGTAGAGTTGTTTGATGTGTTGTATTCTGTGGAAGATGCAAATGCGCTGTAAAAATAGCTATGGCTGCCCCTGTAGCATCCCTTGAAGGCTGAAACATTTTTGCCAATATATATGATTTAAGAAATACAATTAAAACAATTTAAGGAGAAAAGAGGGGTCATGGTAGTTTCTGTTAGTTCAATTAAGACACTTACTAAAACTGTGAACTTTCCTGTGCGTAATTCACTGAGCAAAGGTTCCTGAGTCGGATATAAAAGTGCCAGACCTTCTCTTCTTCTGGTTGCTTCGTGCTGTTCATACAGAGCTAATGCTCTTGCTACTTCAAATTTCCTTGCTGTCAGAAATTTCACTGCTGTACTCCACGATACTGGACCAGCTCTTCTGCCAGCCCTACACTTGTTAACAGCTTCTATAAATTCTTTTGTGGCCTGTAATCAAAGCGGTAATTGTCAACTATATCGGCGACGTTAAAATTTCAATCTGTAATTGAAGCGGTTGAAAAATACGTAGAAAATATAAAAGTGAAGATGAAGTACGAAAGTAGATCCGATCGTAATTAACGAATAAAATATTAAATTATTTTTTCTGCTCTACCGGTGTACGCGTATCTCGCGTGCAATTACCATTATGTGTATTACAAGATGAAAAGAATAATTAATTGAACGGAAAGCCATTCGCAACGTTTAAAATAATCGAATAGTCTCGCACCGTTTGTAGACTTTCGAAACGCGTAAGAGTCATTCGTCAATGATTTGTGTACATGCCCTGAGTACCGATATAACTTCCGGTGTCCGACTACCTCCCCACCGGCAACTTCCGCCATAGTACGCTCGCCGGGGTCCGGCACGGTAAATGGATAGGTTTGTTCCAGGGTCAAGAAATTTAATATCGCGAATCGATACTTTCATAAAACTTCTCGTGAACGGTAGTTTCGAGTTCGCTTCATCGACGTTTCATCGCGTTTACGAGAAGCTTGCACGAGTATTGCACAAATCGATTTCGTTTCATTGTTAATGCGCGACTTTGAAACTGCAGAATAGCTAACTTTTCCTTCTTTTGTATCTCAGCCTATTTATGGATCGAAGACGTTTTTATTTATCAAACACGTATTATTTAATTTATTACATTATTATATTATTGTTAAATAAAGCGTACGAAAATCATGAACCATTTTCAACGTATAAAATCACGCGCCATTTAGGAGCGATGTTCGACAAAAGAATCGGAATGTTATTCTCTCGATGACAGTGTCTAACAAACATCGACTATTAAAGTTTAGAATACACGCGCAAACCTATCGCGCTCGTTTAGCCGATGCATCGTCGAATAAAGTAATCGTCCCTGAGGCTGCTCGAGTCGGCTTTCGTAAATGCCCGTTAAATAATGCACGTTCCTCTTTATCTTGCGGTTTCCGTTGAAATTCATCGAGAAAAAATTCAAAGGATCCAAAGACGAGTAAGAGCGATCGAACAATGTTTATATTACGCGCTAGTAAGCACGTTCCCGGTACAGCAGAGATCGTGGAAGAAAAAAGAGAACAACGAACGATTGTTTCGCAAAGCCCGCGAGATAATCAAAAAACGATTCTGCGATAGATATTAGAAGACGAACGAAATGACTGATAAACCCCTTACCTGCTCTTGCTCGACAGTTAACGTGGCTGCCATTTTGACTTAACACACTGACATAACCGAAGAATCAGCACTGATACGTACTTATTTCCGATTCTAGCCTAACCATCCTCTGTCTATGATCACACATTTTGTTCGACCACCTAGCACACCACACGATCCCTACGATTGACTTATCCGAATCACGTCGAAAACAAGTAGATCGATCCGGCACTCGTTCATTGTCCGACGCTCAACACGGCTATAGCAGACCCGTTCTGACTCGTGCGGACGCTCGATCGTCTTTCTCTCCGCAGGTTGAGCGCCATCTTGGGAGCGTGACTGTGTAAGCGACACTTTGACCATACTATACATTGTACGCTATACATTATACACGTTAGCTACAGATTTGTACCATAGTTTATCGCTCGTCTGTCCTTTTCACGCCGGATATGCTATCATTGACCGAGTATAACCGTCTAAAGGCTGCGCGAATCCTCGGGTCTTATGGGATTTCGCGCGAATTAAATGCCGGAAACGGGGTAGGTTTTGAAATCAAAAGCAGAGTGCATTAATCTAGGCACGTATCGGTACGTGTTTCAATGCGTTCGAATATCGGGATCGGAATTGCTACAATTTTAAAATTCACGTTGAGTTACTTTCGAGGGCATGGTTAATCGAAGCGAACTAATGGAACACTTAGGAGAGATATCGACGAGGTTCGTTTTGACTAAATTACTGCCTTCTAAGGATAATCGTGTTCATTAATTGGAACGAGTGTAGCGTATGTAGGTTGGAGATGTTACGATCTCTCGTCTTAGCGAAAGTATCACACGAGAAAAGTCGTTGAATCTTTGCCAACGAGCAACAAGTTAACGTTTCGTCTGGAAGCAACAAGTATAATAATTGAAAATAGCGCACGCACAGCGGGAAACGTACCGATAAGAAGCTTTATGGGATAGGTCACGAATGAAGCACAATATCTTTTTTGTAATATAAACATTTTTCTTATTCAAACGTATGTTCTTACATTTACACAGTACAAAAAATTATACTCAGACCTGCCGGCCCGCGGTTCATAATTGCTATGACTGGGGGCGGCTGGTGGTGGGGTAGTGCGGGACTTTATGGGGGTGGATATTTTTCGTTCATAGGAGTTTAAGGGCTGTACAATTGTCTCATCCATTCCACTCCGCCCCCAATACACGGCCCCTTGTTCTCACGCTCATCCTTGCGGATTTTCGGCATTTTCGCTCAGAAAAAAACAACATACACACACCGTGCGCTCACGCAAATACACACGCAACACGTAACACGCGACAAGCAATCTTTCGAAACGCTTTCATTTATACAGTTAGACACGCTCGTTTAATCGTGCTTTTTCTCGCCGCGTATTCAGCAACATTTAAATATCGGTATTTCTCGTAATAATTAAATCGTAGTAATAATAATTATTAATAATAATTAATAATAATTAATAATGGTATAATAAACTATCTACCTACGCAAGTGTAAAGTGTATTTTTTTTGTCCATGTTCGTGGAGCGTGTGTTGTCCCTTATAAACCTAAGCTTCATCGTATTTATATATGTATAATAATGTTATTTACATACACGTTTAGCGGGAGAACAAATAATAATAGCTTCGTCTGCAGCAATAATACACACAGAGTATGCGCGGTTTTTCTGTATTTTTTTCTTCTATATAATTTTATATACATCGTTCCGTTAATCATCGATTATTCAACGCGTGTCGTTCGTGTGAATAATAAGGGTACTTCCTCTTTTTTTGCCATTTTGTTTACTGCCTTAATAATTTCCGTAGCGTTAAACCTTACTTCTTATCTAATAAGATATTTAAAAAATTTACTCGTTAAATATTTATTTTAATCAAGTCGTTGTATGCTAGACGAACGTTGAGATCAAAGAAATTGCGGTTTCCAGGATTCCAATGAAAGATTTGTTTTCTTCATTTTTTTTTCTTTTCACCCGTACACGGATCGGTCTCGAGATACCAGCCGTAGAGAACACCGTCCGACGATCGATAAGTGCGCGAACGGAGCGAGACGCTAAACTACGTATGTGTACGCGCGCGTGTTTCTATGTGTCTGTGGGTGTGTACGCGTGTCCATTGTCCTCGAAAGTCGTTGCCTTCCTCTCTTCTTCTTTTCATCGGAAACTTTGATCGAAATCGCGAACTCTGAGGCAACTGGCACCGGTTGGCCAACTAGCGAGAGTAACAAACGTAAATCGTGAAAATACAAAGGCGATCGAGGCCGGCCGCGAGTTTCGAGGAGATCCGGACGCGGGCGTCGCGCAACGCATCGCGATTAGCAACGGTTCTGTTTGATTGCGAGAAAAGTTGAATGATAGGAACTCGACCTCTCTCTCCATTACCCTCTCATCTGATCCGTGAATTCTGCACGACCGATCTGCTCTCCGTTTCCTCTTTTCATTAATCATTTTTCCTCGCGTCTACTTACTCTTACGCCGTACGGAACGCAACGCGCGAACAACACGCGAGGGTGTTCCACGTCGTTTGAAACAACATTGGCACTTCGAAAGTCAATTACAGCTTTACTTCGCGTTAAATAATGTTACCATAGTTATTAATTATTAATTACAATACAATTAGAATATCGCTGCTCTATCGGATAGACGGTTTTGCGTGATTTGACAAAAATAACAGGATTTTCATTTTACTTTGTTTCATTTTTTTTTTTTTGTTTTCTCGTTTTCTTTTCGCCCTTATTACTGGGTCATCATCACTGGGCCACAACGTCAATTCAATCTATCATAAAAAACATTAAATTCGATAAAGTCTATTCTCAAATCGATCTTGCATCCCGTACAATATGCAGATGTAATAACGTCGAAAGATTTCATTTAGCCTTTCTCATTGCTTTATTCGTATTCTCTTTCTGTTCCGATGCCTTCATTTTAAAACGACACGATCATACGAACCTTCGAACAGACTTTGCTCGCTAATAGCCGATACATGTTTCGAAGGAAAAAGACGAACGGAAATATACTCTCGAGAAAGCTGAATTGCAATTATATATTACAACGAACTAGACGCGTAAAAATCAAGTCGTTCGATCCGTTTCACCGGACCGACGCCGCGAACAAACAGGCAGTGTTATCCTCTCGTGTCCTTTGTCGCGCTGAACACAAGAATCTGATAAAAGAAATATATATCGGCCATTTGGCAAAGTCGGATTTGTTTGTTTGCTCGTCTCTTTCTCTTTGCTCTATAGATCAAAAGCACCAGATCACGAGAGCACGTAACGCGGATCGACAATTATCACTGATCCAGCTAACAATTTAAATCGACATCTAATTGCACAAAGGTACCTCTAGACAATCCTCTCGTAGTTGCTAGTAAGAATTCGTTACACGGTAATCCATTATCTACATTTATATAATATAGACAGTATGTACTGAATACAGGCACGATATAAGTAATTACAGATAACGTATGATCCAAAGTCCTCCCTTCTGGTATCACAATGGTAATGGACGTGGTGCGTTCGCGATGGCACCGACGACTCCATCGTATTTCTCGATCGAAGAGAAAAAAAAAAGTAGAAAAAAAAGACTCGCGGACTTCATGTCCGCCAGCAGCACGTTGCTCGATAAAGGAAACAATATGTATATATCGAACAAAAAAAGGAAATATTCAAATGAAACAACGAATAATCTCCATTGGCTCAGCCAATACCGAAAAATCAAACTTTTGAGTTACTCGTCAAATATCACAACAAATTCTTGCACCTCGGTACAGGTTTCCGAGCATCCTAGATTAAAATCCTCCATTCGTCCCGGTCCGATTAGCCGGTTCATCATTCGGGAGAGCGAACGAAGGGCGGCAACAGGTTTTTCACTCGCCTGTAGACGGCGAGATTTTTAATCGAACAATGATCATCAACGGTTCTTGCGACCGCGACAGGGGGCCTAGGGCTACGTCTCTTCCTTCTTTATCTCGTTATTGGTCTTCAGTTTGGCAAGAGTCTCGTCCTTGATGTTTGACAGAACCGTCAAGGAATCCTTTACAGCGTGATAAATTATGTTCTTGATTTGTAATTTGTCCTCGTGATTGGTGTGCGTGTCCGATAACGCTCGGAATTCTTGGGTCAGATGGAAGCAGTGGGATACGTTCTCCGGAGATACAAAATCCTCGGCTACTTTGATACAGTTGTGAAGATTTCGAACCTGATGCGGAGCACCGGCTGGCACGAATACAGCGTCTCCCAGACACTGTACGATGGCGTATCTGTAAAAAGCACGGAACAAACAAATAACACCTTACGCTCGTTTTCGCGTATCGCGAAAGAATGAATAAGTCGGTGCTTACCCTTCGACGCCGTATTCGCGATACAATCGTTCCCGCAGAGGTCCATCGAGATAGCAGCTCTGATCGTGAATCGGGTCGTGATGCGGTTCCAAACGAGCTCCACGTTCCAGCGCGACAGCGTTTAACAGGTCGCGAATTTTGTCGGCATCTCTAGCCGCGTAAATGTGCCACAACGCACCAGGTTCGTTACACGGTAATCCATTATCTACATTTATATAATATAGACAGTATGTACTGAATACAGGCACGATATAAGTAATTACAGATAACGTATGATCCAAAGTCCTCCCTTCTGGTATCACAATGGTAATGGACGTGGTGCGTTCGCGATGGCACCGACGACTCCATCGTATTTCTCGATCGAAGAGAAAAAAAAAAGTAGAAAAAAAAGACTCGCGGACTTCATGTCCGCCAGCAGCACGTTGCTCGATAAAGGAAACAATATGTATATATCGAACAAAAAAAGGAAATATTCAAATGAAACAACGAATAATCTCCATTGGCTCAGCCAATACCGAAAAATCAAACTTTTGAGTTACTCGTCAAATATCACAACAAATTCTTGCACCTCGGTACAGGTTTCCGAGCATCCTAGATTAAAATCCTCCATTCGTCCCGGTCCGATTAGCCGGTTCATCATTCGGGAGAGCGAACGAAGGGCGGCAACAGGTTTTTCACTCGCCTGTAGACGGCGAGATTTTTAATCGAACAATGATCATCAACGGTTCTTGCGACCGCGACAGGGGGCCTAGGGCTACGTCTCTTCCTTCTTTATCTCGTTATTGGTCTTCAGTTTGGCAAGAGTCTCGTCCTTGATGTTTGACAGAACCGTCAAGGAATCCTTTACAGCGTGATAAATTATGTTCTTGATTTGTAATTTGTCCTCGTGATTGGTGTGCGTGTCCGATAACGCTCGGAATTCTTGGGTCAGATGGAAGCAGTGGGATACGTTCTCCGGAGATACAAAATCCTCGGCTACTTTGATACAGTTGTGAAGATTTCGAACCTGATGCGGAGCACCGGCTGGCACGAATACAGCGTCTCCCAGACACTGTACGATGGCGTATCTGTAAAAAGCACGGAACAAACAAATAACACCTTACGCTCGTTTTCGCGTATCGCGAAAGAATGAATAAGTCGGTGCTTACCCTTCGACGCCGTATTCGCGATACAATCGTTCCCGCAGAGGTCCATCGAGATAGCAGCTCTGATCGTGAATCGGGTCGTGATGCGGTTCCAAACGAGCTCCACGTTCCAGCGCGACAGCGTTTAACAGGTCGCGAATTTTGTCGGCATCTCTAGCCGCGTAAATGTGCCACAACGCACCAGGTGCTTCTCCGCGTTCGCGAACGCGTCGCCGAGTCAAGATATCACAGCCGGCTTCGTCTATCGCCCTCAGTGCTTCTGCAAACATCAACAAGTTCCCTATTTATTAATCCCCCCAATGTATCATCTCGTGCTCGATAAATCGAAACAGCGAGCAACGATACGTACCTTTGACGTGTTCGTCGTTGTCGGCGTCCTTAGGGATGCCCACGTAAACCATGACGTTCACTGCGTCGGATATATCCAGATGAAGGTTGGTCGTGCCCTTGTTGGGATGCAGAGCCGAACCGTAAGCGTTGTACATCTTAGGTCCCAAGTCTGGTCGGACGAAGCAGTCCGGTAAACGACTGGCCAAATTTAATCGTCCGTTTCTATGCGTGTACTCCGATAACGGCAAAACTTTCATCAGATCGGCGAATCTCGATGGCAACAGCTCCGCGAAATCTTCGCCAGGCGGCCAATCCTTGAGCTTCAGCAGCATAGGATTTCCGCGCTCGTCCTTCAAACGTTTCGAGAAGTGTTCGAATCCTTCCCAGAACTTGCGCATCGGTTGATTCGGCACCAGATTCCCGGTCATGCAATTGATCAGATCGTTCTTTTCATCACCAAAGTCCCTGGCGAAGGAGTCTGGATGCCAGAGGTTCATGTCTAAAGATTTCGCAACGTCGGACACGATGACCGGTTGTCCGCGTTTCCACTGATCTTGAAATATTCTATAGTTGTTAGGGTTGTTGGGATCGTTTAACCTGAGCAATTTCCCGTCGCAGAGCCAAGAGTGCGGCACGTCAGGGTACAGACTCTTGCTTTCAGTCAACGTCATGATTCGAATGGGCAGTGGTTCCCTTCCTTTCTGTGTCCATTTGTATCTTCTGACAAAATGCTTTAATTCCCTCGGCTTCTCGTCGTCCAGTCCAGCTTCCCTCTCCTTCTTCACGCTGTGCTCGATCACGCTGGATATCACCTCGTCCAACGTATCCATCTTCGACTTCTTTCCGGACTTCGACACGTTGTTCTGCGCGTTGTTTCCTGCAGTGACGTTCGCGTTGCTGCTGTTGTTCGTCGGCGAGTTCGATCTAGACCCGCTGCCGTTCGACTTGTGAGACGGCCGGATAAGCAGTTCTCTCAACGTGGAGTAATTACCGTCGCGATCCTCGTCGGAGTCCGAACTAGAGGCGCTCTCGTTTTTATCCTGATTCTGTAACGCCACATCTGCCAACCAATTCAACGGAGAATTCTTGTCTTCTCCGTTCGTCTTGCTCTCTGACGATCCGTTCGACTCGTTCACCTTCTTCTCCTCCTTCACCTCTTGCTTGACGTTACCGTTCAGAACCGGTACCGAATCGCCCTTTATCAGGTTTCGAAGGTAGTCGTTGGCAGCAGTTTGTACGACCAGCGAACATCCGCAGTGCTGAGGTATCCCCCATTCTGCCCTGCACTCGTGCAATCGTTGTCCAAGGTGTATCAAGCTATCGCCGGCGATAATTTGCGTTAACATGAGTCGCTCCGGTTCGTGTACTTGTCTGTTCGTGCACAACAGCCAGGAAAAGTCGTCTCTGTCCTTTCCGCTTTCTCCCCAAATCTTGATCGTTCCATTCTTGCGTCCCTAATGATCATTACATTTATTAGTAGGATATTCCGGCGTTGGGATTGTAATTATTTAAAAGATAGGGTGGTATCAGTGTTAAAAAGCTCGATTTCGTTTAAGTATATATCATGACGTTGTCAAATGATTTTAACTTTCATCATTGACTCGGATAGAGAAATTTGTAGGACGGGGAGAAACAAATCTTACCTTGTAACAATCGATGCAAACAACGAAACCGCATTTACCGCAAGCCCAGTGGTAATTGAATAGGGTCGTCTCGCAGACGTCGCACATCTCTCGAACGCCCTGGACCACTCTCTTCCACGCCACAGTTCCGTCTACAAGTCCCGAACTTGCTGTCAAGGTGAAGAAACAATCGATACGCAAAGCGTTAAATCATGCGAACAAAGGGAACTCGATAAAGCGTAATCTATCTACCATAAAACATGCACGAAAAGAAAAGATTGAACTGAAGCTCGAGGAGCAAAAATAAAGTGGACGAATTTTACTGCAAGGAGCAGCCTTACCCGGGTGTAACACTTTGACGAATACGTGAATTGCGGTATTATTTGGGGAAAAATTTATAGTCGAAAGATCTTTGCGGAGGTTCAAGCTAAAGTGTTAACGACGATGTTATCAGCATGCAAACGACGTGTAGAATGCGCGTTTAATGTTTCATAGCATTAAATTACCGACTTTATGCATAAGTACAAAGACTTACCTTCTGCCATGTGTTGCTGGAGAGCATCCTTTTCCTGATGCAACAGATCACAAAGCTGATCGCCAACTTGACAAAGCAATCTATGTGCCATTTCCAGATCTAAATCTTCTTTGTCTCCTTTCTCTTTATCGCTTTTATCGGATTTCTCGTCCTTCTTCGGGTCAGAAATGTCTTTTCCAGGCAACCACAAGCGAAGATCTACCTGTAATAGCAGAAGCAACGGTTCACTTTTGCTTCTATGATGAAGAATTCTAAAACATAAAATATAAAAGACGTACCTCGGACGCGTCTTTGTGCGGGTCGCTGAATCCGGCTATAGCCAACTGTCCGTTTTTTGTGTACCGTAATCTACGGAATGCATAGAATCTGCAGAAAATGTTTTGTGGAAGATTTTTGGAGCGTTGGTGCGGTGTCCATCTGCACTCACGACATTTCGCCAATTTCGGGGCGACCTCGAAACAAGCTCCGTCTTGTAACCAGCTATCGCCGGTTTTCTTCAGCTGCGATATCGAAGGTCGACGAAAGGGGTCACCCCTTCCGCCGCTTCCACCTGGCCCGTTGTTACCGCCGCTCGCACTGTCGTCTCTGCGTTCTTTCTTTTGGCGGGGCTGTTGATCTTCTCCGCCCAATTCGTTGCCACCCTTCGTAGTCTTTGGTCTTCTGCCTCGCTTCCTGGGTTCCTTGTTATTTCCTACCGAACAAACCATCTATTCGTAGGATATCGGCGAACATCGGACTTGCACGCGTTTACGGACGATCGATTCAGTGTTAAAAAGCTCGATATATTATCTTTCACGGATTAAACGTCAACTTTTATTTGTCATCATTATAAGAATGTTAGACACGCAAACAGGGTAAGTGTACAAGTTCACAAAAAGGTTACAGAGCTTGGCGAAGCTAAAGAGTATCAGGAATTCATCGAATGGTTACAGAAGATACTTGTTTTGCTAATAAAAGTTGCTAGTAGATTCCTGAACGTCTCGAGTTCTCGCACAGCTCTCTAAAGGGGATTAAACGTATTGACCATGGAACGCGGATCACTTACCCTGCAAGTGAATAGTTAGTTCACCTGACGGGAAGTCCATTTACAAGAAGCTACGTCAACTAACCGTTTCCCGAGGAATTGTTGGAATTGGCCGTGGTATGGCGAACCCTCGACGCCGGTTGAATGGAACCCAACTGTTCGCTAGTATCGCTAGCGGAACCAGCCTCGCTTTCGTTACTAGACTCGCTGCCTGCACCAGCTCCTCCTGCCGCTGCTCCTCCACCTCCTCTTTCTGCTCCTCCGCCTCCACCCCCGCCACCTCCGCCTCCTCCTCCTCCACCTCCTCCGGTTTGCTTATCTTCCTTTCGCCTCCGCTGATCTTCCGCGGTCGTTTGCTGCCTTCGTGCGGCGCCTTTCTTTCGTTTTACCTACCACAGGGCACAGATTATTAAGTAGTCAGGAAGTTCATGCTCTTGCCGAAACTACTGTCAAAAAAAGAACTACCAATTTGGCTTCTATTCTATCGTCCTACGACAACGCATTCTTATACACCAGCTCAGGTACGCTCGGGTCGTTCTTACGCGACTCGAATTCGATCCTCGACTTTACATGCATCGACGCGAGGTTTCCAGGACGTGTAAAAGTAATGGACGAAGAAGGCATACAAATAAGAGCAAGGGCAATCATCGAAACGAAACAAGCGTTCTTACGTTGCTCGATTGCAAAATAGTTCTGTGGGAGATCTTAATCGAACTGTTTTAAACGGTAAAATTTACATCGTTATAATACGGTAGAAAACGGAGGACGAATAGGAACATTATTGCGCACGTTCCATGACCAACGGCATTAGATATCAATTACCGACAGATAATTAAAAGCCGTAACTCGTAAATGATTCTGCGTATAATTAGGAGAGAAAAAACCGTGTAAACGAACAGCGTTAGAGGAGGGAACGCGTAGGAGCGGTAATGGTACATCGAGCGCACACACAAACGAGCTATTTACAGAAACCAATTACAGCCGATCAATCAACGATACGTAATCTATTTGCGCATGCATAAAAGAAACAACAATGCGTGCAACGGTGATCCAGTGTTTCGTGGACACAGAAAAAGCGCGACACCGAGAAATCATTAAAAAGAAGTATAGGTACGATCCATATAGATACCTTGGGTGGTTTTCTTTTGGGCGGCGACTTTCTCTCCGGGTCGCTGCTGGACGAGTCTTCTTGTAAATTTTTTGTGTCCGTGGCGTGTCCGTTGAGGGACTCTTTGTTGGTCGTTTTGCGACCGCTCTTGGCGGTCACCTTGCTCTTGTTGATGCTGTTCACCGCCATGCTACCGATATTGTGAATCGAGTTGACGGCGCTGGGTAAACAAGTGGTGGTCGCGTTACTGGTCACGTTGGACGAGGCGTCGCGTTCCTTGCTGTTCAACGGTTGAGAGGGCGCTTGTGAGATATTGAGGGGCAATGTGACGCAAGATCCGCTGCCCACGACGCCGGTGGTGTCCTCCGTGCCGTCTTCGCCGGAATGCCTCTGCAGCCAAGCCTTCTTCAGCTTGTGAACCGGGTAGCTGGTGCTGCTCGGTGGTCTCGGTGCCGGACTGTTGGACTTCTCGCTGTCGATCGTAGGATTGGGCTTGGCCGGGGTGCCCGGTGCGCTGGGCGCTGGACTCGGCGCCGTGGAGGGCGCCGGACTAGGTACGGGTGCCGGGCTGGGCGCGGCGCTAACCGTCGTCGGGTTCAAGGAACTGGCGCTACCCGCGCTCGCCGGTCGCACGGAACCGTCCCCGCTGGCGGTTCTGGGCGCAGGACTGACCGCGGTTGCAGTGCGTTCCTGTTGCGATTGACTGTTGGGTTGCGCGAGCAACGCCGCGGTGTTGACCACGGTGGTGATCGAGGTGGCGGCCGACGCGATCAGCGGACTCGGCTCGCTCACTCGAGAAAGAACCGGTGGACCGACGCATTGCAGGGACAGCGGTTGCGGCGGTTCCTCGGTCCTGCGTTTCTTGCAGACCTCCAGGGACACCGGTTGGCCGGGGTTCTCGGTCATCGAGGGAGTTGGCGCTTTCCTCTTCGGCGAGCCGGATCTCTCCACGCCGAGATTCAACGGTTGCGTCTGGAAGGTGGTGTTCTGCATCTGAGGTTGCGCGTGTTGCACCGTCTGCCCGGGAGGTTGCTGATGAGGGCTGGTGTGGCGTAATGCGAGGTCGGCGAGGCCGTGGGCGGATGCGGATGCGGGTACGGATACGAGGACTTGGCAGTAGCGTAAGGTAGGCCAGGTTCCGGCCTGGTGAGATAACGCGGCTCGGGCGGCGACGGATGCGGTGGCTGATGAGGATGCTGAGCGTGCGGCGACTGTCGATTGTGCGAATGCGGTGGATGCCCGTGAGGGCTGGGTAACTGCGCGGTCGCGGTGGACCCGCTACCGCTTCTGTGGTGACCCTGAGGTATGCTCTTCGCCGCCTGTAAACCGTCCAGGTGGTGAAGGTGGTGAGGACTTTGCGTGGGGCTCCTGTACTCGTACGGTTTGTGTTGCGGCGGTACCGACTGCACGTTCAAATAAGGCATGATTTTCGGGCTCGGCGAGTGCTGTTGCGACGTCGGTACCTTCGGAAGTTCCCGACCCTCGTTCTTCACTATCACCGAGCTCTTGTGATCCGACAGCAACGTCGGAGGATTCTGTAGCACTTCCCTGCCGTGATGGTCCCTCTCGAGACCGCTGGCTAGGCCGCTTTTACTCGTCATAGACTTGTGCGGTTGTCCCACGTCGCTCTTCACCTTCATGTCGTGCATCGAGTACGAGGTCTGCGGTTGGTACGTCGAGTAACTGAACAGACCCACGTTCGGCTCGACCTTCGGCAGCGAACTGTGCGACGGACCCACCACCGACGACGGTTTCTCGTGGAGGCCACCGACCGGCAGCGACGACTTGGACGTTCTCGAGTGCGCCGGCGGAGGCGGATAGTCGACCTTACCGGGCACGCTCGACGGTCGAGACACCTGTGACGGACAGAACGGATCGTCAGCTCGTCGATCGAATCGATAAACTCTTAAGCCTCGCGACGATAAACGTACCTGTTGAGTCGGTGGAGCGGTGGCCGCGTAATAAGCGGCCCTCTGTTGAGCCGCGATGTGGTCCCTGGCTTCCGCCTGCCTGTGCAGTCTCTCGGCCGCCGCCAGGTGATGTTCCCTCATTCCCATGTTCTCCGTTTCTCGTTGCCTCTGCTCCCTGGCGTCTCGTTCTCTCGCTTCGCGTTCCCGTTCCCGCTCCCGTTCTCGCTCCCGTTCCCGTTCCTCTCGTTCCCGTTGCTGTTGCTGCGCGACCGTCACCGGATGCGCGCTCGTCGCGCCCGGCCCCGGATGATGGTGACCCACGTGCGCGGTCATGCCGGAATGCGGTGCGCCGTGAGGCCTACTTGCAGGCGGTGGCAACGGGATGAACGTGTTCCACGCCATCGAGGTCGACTGCATGTTCTTCTGTGGAGCATAAGGCACCTACTTCAATAAATACTGCCAATCGATTTGCCGAATCGTCACGCCCGTTTGCTGTTCTCCGTTCCGGTATTCGCTCGCGACTCGAAACGCGCGCTATTTTCGCGCCGCGTCGAGCAACGGGA